TGTTTCTCAAATTCTCTATAAATAAAAGAAACATAAATTTGAAACATAATTGTAAGGATACATCCTTTAACATTTTCTTCAACATCTCCATAGTGCCATCGTATCCTAGACAATTCTTTATATAAGTTATATTTTTTTCTATAAAAAAAGAAAATGGAGTTATTGATTGAAACGAACATTTCTTATATATTTCCATAGAGAGATTATAGTACAAACCTTCCTCGATCCAATAATTCTTGATCTTGTATATTTCGTTTAAGAGTTTTAAGTTTATTTCTTTTTAACTCTAACGTATGGTTCTCCTCCATAAATTTGTTTTTCTCAGCTTCTAACTCTGCCTATATAAAAAAATGTATTTTTTATATTTCAAACAAAGAAATATTATATTGAAAATAAAGAAGTTTACTATGCTATTTAAATGCTTGGCCAAATCATGCTCCTTATATTCTAATGTTTGTTTTTCAGATTGAAGACTTTCTTGCATGGAGGTTATTTTCGATGTTAATTCCTGGATTTTTACTTCATCTTCTACAAAAAAAAGGAAATTAACTTGTTTTAGTTTATGAACAATAAATCGAACACAGTGACACTGCGATTACCATTAATTACCGTTGCAGTATTGTTCCTGTTCAGTTTTGACTCGATCCAGCAACATTAGTTTCTTTTCCAATAACTCTCTCAATTGCATATCCGAAACTTTCACATGTTTGTTCTTTAAAGCTAATATATCGTCCATTCTGTTTTTATTAATACATAGCATTTACAACAGACGTTTCAAATAATATAAGTTTGAAAACGAACTTTATTGTCTGTTACTTGTGTCTGGCTTTCTCCAGAGAATTTAAATTGTCACCACACATTGCTGCCAACACAACGAAGCCTCATAAAGTTATCGTTCTGTATGCATGGATGTACGTACGCGTAATATACAGGGTGTCCAAAAATTATGGTACTTCCGGGAAACGAAGGGTTCCTGAGATCATTTGAAGTAACTTTTTCCTTAACAAAAATGCAATCCGTCGCCGTTTTGTTATTAACGAAAAACAGCGAATAGCATGAAGCAGGTAGAGAAATCTGATTGGTTGATGCTTCACAGCTGAACAGTGCTGCCCCCACGGTTCTAGACAAAGAGAGGAAGTAGCGAGTGAGCAAGAGTACGATATTAGCACAACCACTAGTAAAACAAGTCACACCGACGACCAATGTAGCTTATCTCACTTTACCGTGCCTGCGTTCTCACTCTTTTTGCGCCTCCATATTGCCTGGTGCTCCATCTAAAATGGCGCGATATTCGACTTGCACTTTTCGCTCCATAAGATTCTCGACCACACAGTCTAGCGTATTTGCGAACGTCTTGAAACGGCGATCATTTCTACAATTATTAGATTTCGATGTTACTTTTTTTCAAATCTGTACGGCATGCGTATACATCATGTCTTGAAATGAACATGTGATCACAGCTGAGACACTGTTCCAAAATCGAGGTAGGAGTGGTAGTCTCTTAGTGAAGGATCTAGAATTCAGGAATTGTGTGAGAGTAGAAAGAAGGGATTAAAAATAAAAAAAAGAATAAAAGCAAAAATATTTCGGTGCTACAATCGATAAACGGAAGGAGAAAAAGATTGGACTTTTTGCATGCAAATTTATATATTCTTAAGATTATTTTGTATTACAAATGTTTGAATAGAGATCATTTTTACAAGTAGTATATTCTTTAATTGTGATATGTAATTTAGTGGACCCTTAAAATGTTTATTATAATAGTTCGCAAGTATAAAATCTCGCGACCATGATTTTATGTATATACGAGATACAATATGGGTACAACGGTACCAACTTTAAAGATTTAAGATTATGTAATTAATCTAATCTGGATTATAATGATTCTATGTGTTAATTTATCCTAATGCCCTTACCTCTCTACTAAAGATATTGTGTTTTTAAAACACAACAAAGTCTCAATAATGATCACTAGATCGCAATGATCTTTTAACATGTAAACAATGTAACCAAATATTTTAAAATTGGTGACGATATAAATATATGGATCTTCAGGAAGATGTCTTCTTAAATGTATTACATTTTTATCCAATATTTGCTAACACANATTCTATGTGTTAATTTATCCTAATGCCCTTACCTCTCTACTAAAGATATTGTGTTTTTAAAACACAACAAAGTCTCAATAATGATCACTAGATCGCAATGATCTTTTAACATGTAAACAATGTAACCAAATATTTTAAAATTGGTGACGATATAAATATATGGATCTTCAGGAAGATGTCTTCTTAAATGTATTACATTTTTATCCAATATTTGCTAACACA